TCACTGCCCATAGGCCTGCGGGGCAACATGGGCATCAGCATTACTGGAGCTCAGTGAGAGTTGGAGCCATAAGACAGCCACCCAGAAGGAGCTGAACACTGGCTGGGCAGGGAGGGGGCAGGAAAGATAGAGTGTGGTGAGGAGTAACACCTGGCTCCTCTCTCTTTCTGCCTTCTGTCTCCCGCTGGTGCTTCCTATTGGCTGAGAAAGCAGAGGTCAGCCATTCTGGGCAAAGAGCAGGGCAGAGAAGGATGGAAAAGGGTTGTAGGAGCAAATGGAGACAAACCAGCATGATGGGAACTCCTTTAGTTACAAGTGAAAGAAAGCCACTTAAACTGGCTTAGGCCAAAATTAACATGGGGCAGTGGGGAGGGTTGGTTCACTGACTCAAGTAACTGGAAAGACTAGGTAAATCCAAAGCCTTACAACAATGTTATCAATCATTTTCTCTTTATCCACTCCCTCTTCTCCCTCAATGCCAGCGATGTTCTCGCAGAACTTTCCAACGGCAGTGAGCATGACTACTGTAGCATCCAGCAAACTCAAGAACGAATATCAGAGACTTTCAGGGTATCAAAGATGTTACTTTATTGGCCAAGTTTAACCTGTGCAGGGGCGAACTCTCAAAGTGTCCAGTGACACAGTGCCCGCAAGGAGCTGCAAACGAGAGACGCCCCGAGCGCTTACAACTACGTTCTTATATATGGGCGAGTAAGCAAGCGTTATACAGAAGTAGACGTGGCAGTTAGTAATTCGCTTACAAAGACCGCGCGCGGGAATTTCAAACCAAGCATTCTTGCATAAGGCGGGAAGGCAGGATGTTTGTTCATTAACCTAGTAATCTCCTGGTTCTAGCTAGCTAGTTTTCTATTTTCTCATTAAAAACTACAAAGCACTGCTTATCTAGCCTACCCAGGGGAGAGCGTCTGCTAGACACAGGATGTTTGCTTTGACTGTACTTTGTCTCTTTTATCATTTCTTTTTAGCTACAATGTGGTTCTTGTCTATTAAGGTTAAACTTAGTTCTTAATTTCCTTGTTCCCAACAACTACCAGCACCTCCAGGGTGACAGACTGAGAGCTCGCATTCCCAGGAAGAGCAGGGACTCCTCCTTCCCCAGTTCAGAAGGGCCCTGGCAAGGGTTCGATCAACTGACCTGAGTCACATGCAATGGTGCACTGGAGCTAGGTCGTACTGAGGTGGGATAGTAAAGAGCTAGGAAAATTCCTAGGAAAGTGGAAGGGGAAACTGAGACACGAAAATCAAACAGGGCCAAACAGTTTGAGCAACTTGCAGCCAGCAAGAATTTATCTCCCCTAACCGAGGACACTTAAAAGTGAATGGCTTGTACCTCTCCTCCCTCACCAGAGAGTACACAGCTTACATCTCCCTGGCCTGGGAAATAAAGAACAAAGACCCAGTTGATGTCAGCTAAACCCAAGGACAAATGAAGTCAGGGAAACAATAACAAGAATGCCCTTAAAAGCCAGACAGACCCAAGATAAAAATAAAACGGTGTAATGGGCCAAAGAATATTCCCAAACCCCCTATGTGGTTCTTTTGAAGCATCAGCATATTTTTAAAAATACAACTAGAAAACTAATGAGTATTCTGCTAAAACCCTCCCCTAAAAAGCCCTCAGAACAAAGACACAGCACAGTCTCACTCCAGAGCATGCCCAAGGCCCTCCCTGAGTATGAACTTTTTATTTCCTCCTAAATCCTAAGGGTCCCAAGGAAACTTGCAGCCGGGAAACAGCGGGCAGTGGCGGCTTAGCCCGGGCTTACCCCGTGAGCCTGTCTCCAGGGCCCCCTTTTTCTGACTTCCGGGTGAGTTAACAGCAGCCCCACCTTGGTTCACTTCCTATAACTTTTCTGGGGACCAAAGCAGCCTGCCTAGGCTGTCTCTTGTTACTTCTTCTACCCTAAGTCCTCCCTTTGTTTCACCGTACCCAGGCTTAATAAATGTATTCTCAAAATCACCTGGACTCATGTTGTGAAATCTTTCCTACATGAAGTCAAGAATCCACACACTACAGGCCAGCCTGAGGCAGACCTGCTCCAGGCTGGTGCCTGTCTGGTAACAGTACCAGCTCCCAACTCAACACACAGCTTGGTAATTTGACATTGGCCATGGTGGGAGTACATACAACATGGAAATAAGCAAATGTTATGTTTACCAGCCCACCACTGACTCTCAGGACAACATTGTATGTCAGGAAATGCTGTGCCAGGATGGAGCAGTCTGGGTCCTGAGCCAACCCATCCTGAACAGCCCCTTAAGAACCTCACGATGTAGGGAAGGTCTCTGGAGGAAGGATTGGTACTGTTACCAGGAGTGAGGATGAGAAGTTGGACTGAAAAGATGAGCTTCAGAAGCTTATTGTAGGCAGAGAAGGAGAGGGGAGCATCTAAGATGACATCCAAGATCTTGAGGAACTAGGTGGATGGTGAGGTGGTAAGTAGAGATCTGGAGGGAAATAATGAGTGAGTTCATGTATAAATAAGTTGTGTATGAATTGCCTAAACACCTACTACCATAAGAAAGGCAAAATTCTTCTGCTCAAGAAACATATATTCTAATAAGACAGGTGGTAAATAAAATTCAAAGGACTGTCTTACAAGGCCAAATATAAGTGCCAGCAATGGACACAAACCACATAGCAGGAATTCAATCTGCTGCTTCAAACTGTCATTCCCAGCACTGGCCCAGCTCTGTGTCAAACCCAGGAAGGAGCAGGGTCTTCACGGGGATTCCACATGCACCACACCTGCCCAGGACTGGTGGGCAGAAGGGAAGCAGTGAGACAGGGCTGCGTTGTGCTAAATGAGAGTTTAGAAACCCTGTCTTGTTGAATGAGGAAGAGAAAGAAAGCAAATTGGACATGGCTGTCAATGTGATGAATAGGAAGGAAGATTCCTTCTCCTGGAACCTGAAAATTGGAATTGAAGTTCCTGTCTTCTGCTCAGGGAGTTACAGCTGTGCCTGCATGACTGGTCTGAGGGCTTGATAGCACACAGCCGGCCCAGCAGAAGGGTGGCCTCCACAGATGTCCATGTGCAAACTCCTGGGCCTGTGAATGTGTGCTGTTATGTGGCAAAAAGAAGTTTTGCAGATGTGATTAAGAAGAGGGAAGGAGGAGATTATTCTGGATAATCCCAGTGGGCCCAATGTAATCACAAGTGTTCTTATAAGTGAAAGAGGAAGGCAGGAAGATCAGAGAAGGAGCAATTGTGAGCTGGGGGGCCACAAGCCAAAGAATGTGGAAATTCCAGAGACACTTTTAGAAGCTGAAAAAAGCCAGAAACAGATCCCTCTTCTAGAGCCTCCAGAAGGAACCCAGCTTTGCTGACACCTAGATTTTAGCCCTATGAGACCAATTTTGGACTTCTGGCCTCTAGAACTATAAGATAATGAATCTGCATTTTTTAAAGGATTTATTTATTGACTTGAGAGAGACAGACATCAATTTCCTGTTCCACTTATTTATACATTCATTGGGTGATTCCTGTATGTGGCCTGACCAGGGATCAAAACCTGAACCTTGGTATCAGAATGACACTCCAACCAATTGAGCTACCCAGACAGGAAAATCAGTATTGTTTTAAGTCACTAAGTTTGTGGTAATTTGTTATAGCAAGAGGCACAAATACAACTCCTAAGGACATCTGAGAAACTGTGCCTGGACCAGAATGTTCTCAGACCAAGCCCTGTGAGGTGGGGAGGCCAAGGCGGTAATGAGGATGAAGGTCATGCCAGAGTTAGTGAATCCCTATGTTGGCCTGTGGTCATGCTGCATGCTGTGCTTTTCTGAGATTGATGAGGTCCTGGACAATGTGAGACTGGGTGGTTTATGTGTAATGCTGGGCCAGAGGGGACCAGAAATCTCCAAGCAGTGCAGTTTACCTTTACACACGGAATGTTGTCATTCACAGCTGTGCACACTGTGGTCCAGAAGCTTGCACCTCTGCCCTCAGAGATGTTACTAACCTCTTTGCTGTGCCTCAGCTATATGAATTCCCTTCTAACTCTTTACAGAAATAAACCTTGAGCAATTCTCCCAAGCAAATGGCTGTATCTTGACTTTAATACATGAGTCTGTTGATACATTGTTGGTGCAGTGGGCAAGTCACTTAGTCTGATGCGTAGTAATCAGAGGTTTTACACTAGCTTGCTATGACCCTTGGGGTAGAGGTTTCAGAATGCAGATGTCATCCAAGTTTAAGTAAAGATTTATTTAATGGTCTTTAACCCTCTATTCTGCTACATCCATATAGCAAACCCCATTTTCACAGATTGACAACACTACCAATTAATGTGTTCTTCTAAAATTGAGCCAATTACCATGGTGTAAATATTCTAACCATGGCCAATGTCAATGTATCCATGTGATATTGATGAATGCAGAGTTGGAAAGAGATGTGCACAGTCAGCTCTCACAAGCTGGTAAGAGCTGGTTCCAGCATATCACTGCTTATGTCTACCCTTTACCTTCACTTTCTGACTAAGAGAAAGGACACCCCAATAGCAGCATGGTTGGAAAGCTCATGGAGTACTTATAATGGACCAGACACTGTTTTAAGTTCATTACCTTTAAAAATTTTAATTCTCAAGGCAACTCTTGTGGTAGGTAGAAATGAGGCAACTGAGGTACAAGTGAAATAAGCAGTCCAAGCTAATAACTTGTGATATAAACTCAATTTGTCTCAGTGCCCATAATCTTAAAAACTACAGTAAAGTCTTCTCTAAAACTGCACTGTTTGATACAGTAGCCACTAGCCACACTGGCTATTTTAATTGAAATTAAATAAAATTACAAATTCACTTCCTCTCTCATACTAGACACATTTCAAGTGCTCATCAGGCACATGCCACTAGCAGCTACTGTATTGGACAACACAGATATAATACATTTCCATCATCACAGGAAGTTCTATTAGACAGTGCTGCTCTGATTAGATTGTCAGAAAGAAAGAAGCCACACATTTGCTTGGAAACAGTGGATTTAATGGCCTTTATTGACAGCTGTAACATAAAAACTCAAAATACACAGTTCATGTCTTTTCTGCTCTGAAATAAGCAAATTCATTCACTTATTCATTCACTCATTCATTCAACACATTTACTGAGCACCTACTATGTTTCAGAACCTGTGCTAGGTTCTGAGGATAGAAAGATGAATAAAGGGGCACAGCTCCTGTTCTCTAGGAGTTCATGATCTAATAGAGGAGGCAGACACCTAAAAGGGCTATTATAATGCCATACGAAGAGAGTTATAATGGGGGATTCTAGGGTAATAGGAGAGACTCAGACAGGCAGCCAGCTGAATCAAAGGCATTCAGGGATGGCTTCACAGAGGGGGTGATTTCCAAACTGAATGCTGAAAGATAAGTAAAAGTTGGCAGGTTTTAGGTGTTTTAGATAGAAAACTCAAAGAAATACAGAACTTGGATCACTCAGGACCTGTAAGTGAGTGGGTTTGACTGAGGCCAACAGAAGCAGGAGAAGTCAGTTGTTCTCAGGTAGTGTGCTGAGGAGGAAGAGTTGGAGAGGGGAGAAAGGAAAGAGAAAGTTTTATTTTGGGTGTGGTGAGTTTGATGTGCCTGCAGAACATTCAAAGGGGTGTGTGGGGCTGGAGCTCGAGGACAATGTTGGGAAATACGGATTTAAGAATATCAGACTCAAGGTGGTGAACAAACCAAGGGCCTGCTGAGCTCATGCAGAGAGTGTGTGCAGACTGAGAAGAAAATAAACTAAGAGTAACCAGAATAAACAAAGCCAGCTGTAGGAAATACCCACATGTCAGAGCATGCGGAGAACAGGGACAGAGAAGACTGAGTAAGCACATCAGAGGATCGTCATGAGGAAGTGGGGTTGCAGAAATCAAGATCTGGGGCTGTCAGCTGATGCAGAGATGCCAAATAATGTAAGGACTGAAAAGTACTCACTAGAGTTGACTTTGGTAAAATCTGTTTTAGTGGAGTTCAGGATGCCAGCCTGCAGTGGTTTCAGGAAGATATGAAAAGTGAAGAAAAGAAGATCATAACTAGGAGAGACAAATCATTTAGAATAATACTCAGCTGTAAAGATTTTGACTGAAGATTATCCCCAGCATGTTTGCTGACTGCACTAAAGAAGCCAGGGAACAGAGAATCATCAAGGACCCAGGGTGGAGAAGGAGCAATAGGTGAAGCAAGGCCCCAAGGATGTAGAGGGCAGATGGAGTCCAGAGCGCAGATGGAGAAGGAATAGGGAGGGAAGGATGAGTGCAGACATGACGTGTGTGAATGTAGGGAGAGGAAACTAAGGGAATCCCATGTTCTGGCCTCCATTTTCTCCATAAAGCAAGAGGTGAGAAGCTGAAAGCCGAGGATTTGAGAGCAGGGCTGAAGGCCTAAAATAGCTTTTGACAAAAGGGAAAGAGAGCCAATCAGCGGTACATGAAGCACTTCTGGGCTGCACCCAGCAGCCAGCTGAAGTTGGAGAGGAGGTGCCCACAGAGGCACCTGTGCTCAGAAAGGCTATGCTCTTTTCCCAACTGAACTCAGCATCTCCAGGTGCAGAAGAGGAAGAACAATACAGTTGAATTAATTCAGGGTTGGGACTCTATCAAGCAGGAAGGAAGAATGCGCAAAAAGGAAGAAGGGATAGAGGACCAGCTGAGCTGGAAGGAAGTGAAGACAGGAGGAGGGTGAAACACATGACATCATAGAGTAGTCTGCGGTGCAGAAGTCTGGGGTGCAGTAGTCAGGGACTGAGAGAGGAGAAAGGGTAGGAGCAATAACCAGAAAGTTAGACTTTAAAAATGGAGAAGTGATGGGTGATGACACCCAATAGAATTGAGTAAATTTTAAAAATCTGTGAAACAAGAGGGTTAAATGCTTTGTCAAGTGGACACAGAAGATGCTAAGTATGAGGAAGAGGAGATGAAAAATGGAACCATGATATGGGGAATGACCAGACAACAGTGACAAAGGAGGGAAGACAGCTTGGGGGAGGTTTTATATGAGAGTAGAAGAGTGGTCATTTGACTGTGCCAGTTTTGTCCTTGGGAGAATGCTGGTGCCACCTCCAAGCCTGCAGTACGGGGCTTGGCAGAACTGTCAGACTTCCTATGAAAGCTTCTAGAGAACAGGTATCCTCAGAGAAGAGCCAAATGCCAATACAGGTGTTCTGCAAAGAGGTGGCACACTTGCCAAGTTTTTAGAGAAAGTCTTTGGTGCATTTGCAGAGCCATTTGGACAGGGGCAGAGGGAGGTGATGGGTCATTCTGAAGATGAAAGAGTGGGACTTGTAAACCTAACACTTCAGGCAGAGATGACAAATATTGGACCTGGAAGCATCACCTGTTAGCTAGAGTTCTGGAGTCAAAGGAAGCCCCAGGTGTTGGAGAAGACTTGGTGATACCCTCAAATGAAGGGCTCTGCTCCAGGATCTCCCAAAACATTGGTGAGAAGTTTGGGATCCCAGAAAATAACAGAACAACTAAATTTGATTAATTCCTGTTCTTGAGTGGAAACCAAGCAGTCTCCCAGAAAATGAAGGCAATTGGTCACACCCCCAAAGAGATCCTACCCCAGATGTGAAGAGTCCACATTAGATGTTCCCTCTTGTGAGAAGAGCAGGGCCCAGCACATGGATGGTAAAATAACTTAAGCAAGGCAAGGCTTGCTTAATTGTTCATTACTAAGAATAGAGATTTACTGGGGCAGGGAGGGGCAATAATGAAGTCTAAGCTGATAAAGATGTAATCAGATAAAGCCCACAAAGGCCAATTCTGCTGGTCCTGAGATCATCAGATATATGTGTTTCCAAGTTTCTCCCTCAGCTTCACCCTTAAAAGACTTCTTCAATCCCAACAGGCCAATGGCCAGAAAAATCTCAGATATTGTCCCAAGGAATCACAAGGCTTGGCAGTGAGGTTGGGGAAAGGAGATATTCCCTCTCTGTGTTTTAGAAAATGTTTCAGAATACTTGGAAACCAGACTTTAAACAGAGGCCTCAAGTGGCTTGGGCAAAGCCCACACCTCATCCTGCACATGCACCATTCTGAAGATGTTTCACTTCTCTGGGTAGAGCCTAAACGGCCCAACACAGCCACTTCTTCATAACTCCACACCTACCTAAAGAAACTGGACATCACCCATCCCGGTCTGCCAAATCCTGGATATTCCAGACCATGGGTGAGAGCAGCCCCAGAGATACCTGCACAGGTCGGTGAGCAGCCCCCTCAGCTCAGATGTTATCCCCTCCGTGATGTGCCACACTGCATTTCACACACACACCAGCCATGCCCTCTACTGCCCTCTCTCCATATTGTTTACCATTGCATTTGTTATTACACAGTACTTTGTTTACATTTTGCCTCCCCAGCTATTTTTAGAGCTTCATTATCTCTCAGGTCCACTATCCAATAAATATTTGTAGGATAAGTGTGGCTATAGAATGAGTTAATTGAATTAAACTGAGTTGAAATGAACTAAAATGACACAGGGGAATACAGGACAGTGCATTCCCATAGCAACAAGGTTGAGCATTACTCTGACTTCCTCGTCAAGGGTCTCCCCAGAACCCCACTCCCTCCAAAATGTCTCCCTGGCCCCCCAGCCACAATGCCCCCTCCACCACGCAGGTCCTCATTGCTTCTTATGGAACAGAGATGGTGCTGGCTCACTGCTGGGCTCAGCCATGACTTGCATGGGCTGGTTGTTCAAGGCAGCCTCACGCATCTTGTGGTACATGAACTCGTTCTGGCGGAACAGGCGCAGCTCCATCTCCGTCTGCACCCGCATGGCCTGTGGGACACAGATACACCGTGAACAGTGATGACAAGCCCCCAGGACATGTTGGTCTCTGACCTACCTCAGCTCTTTTGGAAAGGGCAGGCAATGGGGTAAATGACTCCCAGTCACCAAGATTTCACTCTCCCCCCCAGAGCATACATCCATGTACTGGGGGTCCAATGTCCTCACAGCGGGCTCAGTTTGTTGGAGGAGAGGGAGTCAGACCCCTGAGAGAGTAGCTGAGGGATTGTTCCCAGGGGAGAGTGTTTGTTCTCAGGAACCATCAAGTGGGGTCCTGGATTTGAACCTTGGCCCCTGCATTTGGGTCCCACCTAAGGTTGTAGGACCTCACACAAGTGATGGAATCTTTTCAGCCCTCAGTTTCCTCATACATGAAATGGGTAAGATTCCTTCATACTTTCCAACAGGCCAGGAAAATTACAGTATGTGACACACACACACAAAAAGGCCTCACTTTCCCATAGGTTCATTCAAGAAATACTTATCAAGGGCCAGACATCCCTTGAAAGGCTGAGGATACAGCAGTGAATAAGACTGACAAAAACTCTGCCTTTGAGAAGCTTAATACACTGAACATAAAGTTTGTCTTCTCATATGCTTTATGACACCAAAATCTGTCATCTTTCCCTACACTACACTATCTGAGAACAGTTTTTGAACTCTGTCACTCTCAGATAAGCCAGCCCTTCAAAGCACAAAGGAAACCAGCAGCAATTGAGAGCATGCTATTTGCCAGACATGTTCTAAGCATTCACACATTAACTCACTGACCACTCATTACAAGCCTATTCTTCTCCATTTTACTGAGGAGGAGACTGAGGTCCTCATGTGCAATGTTTGCAGTCACACAGCTAGACAGTGGTGAAGCTGAACTCAGTCCCAGTAGTCTGACCCGAGAGCCTGCGCTCCCCAAGTCTACTCCATGTAGCACATTTTCTAATGTACACAGCTGCATGTGCACACACACATAAGCACATGTGCACCACTGTTTAGGCTCTCCCAGTCCAAGCTTGGAGCATCCCAGCATTCAAATCTCACATTTGTTACCTACTAGCTAAATGACTATGGACAGATTACTTCTCTTCCCTGGGCCTCAGTTTCCTCATTTGTAAAACAAGGGGAGTGGGATAAAGCCTTTCTGAGTTCCCTTCAGGTCTAGCACCCAATCTACAGACTTTCCAAAAGCAGAGCCCAGAACTCAGCTCTCATTCTTGGAGAGCTCAGAGCAGGCAGGGGGCCCAGCATCAAGATGCTACTTGCCTCTAAGTCCTTGGTAATTGGGTGGGTGGGCCCGTGTGTCACCAGGAGAATAGCATAGGCTTTGCAGATCATACCGTGCCCCACCTCGATGTTACCAGCATGCCAGTTGGTCAGCCCTGCCCGCATCACGGCCATGCCCAGTTGGGCATTGTTGGGGTGGTAGAGCTTCCTGTAGGGGCATATGAAATAATCATAACACCTAATCCCAGCCTTTATTGTGCCTGCAGAGTATTTGACAACTTATAAAATACTCTCATTAAAGTCCATCTTTCAATGACGGCTTTCCCACCAGTGCCAATGAAGCACCTACAGCCCATCAGGAGGCAGAGAGGTGAGTGAATTGCTAAGAACCCCACACAACGAAGATGTAAGAGCTGAGACTCTGCCTCAGCCACTGAGCCATTCTCATGGGGGAAAGGAATCAGGACTGTGCTCTGAACTTTCCAGCAGGAAGCTGGGAGCTCTCAGGTGTACCCCAGCCCTCTCCCTGGAAAGGAGTCGGAAGTTCAAAGGAAAAAAAACACAGCTTGAATGTCCTTCTTGGGAGAGAATTTTTCCCTCCTTGGCACCTTCTTTATAGAGCTTTCTTTCAACATGTTATATTGTTTTTCCCACATTTTGTTTATGAGTAACATCCTCCCCGCAAAATGAGCCTTCTTGTACCAATACACTCATTTGGCCAGAAATGCAAAATCACATGCCAATGTGGACAGAGAGGCATTGGTGGAGTGAAGGCAAGGGCATTGTATCTTATAATTTCTAAGAATGGCTGACACCTCACTTTTCTTTAATAAAAGAAAGCTTACAGGATTTTCTGTGTTGATTATGAGAGAGAAAACCCTTTGTAAGCATAAAAAATCAAGCTGCACATAGTCTTATAGAAATCAAAAGGAAAATGTCACCATCAAGTACTATTGATACATGAGCAGGAGGATTTGGGAATGACCAGGGGTGACAAATAGGTTTCTTCTCAGATACCAGCTCTGGTTACTTGGTCATTACCACTGGAAGCACCATGATTAAAAAGAATAAAAAAGCCCCATTACAAAGAGCCCCAATTACTGATGCCTGCTGTGGGTACATGAGGGAGAGGTGGCAACATGTGTGCCATCTAGTTGTCCTGCTTGGAACATACATGTTTCCAGGAGACTGTGTGAGACCCAGGATTGCCACCTACATATAGCCATCCACCATCCTGCTGGCGTAGTGCGAGGCCTCCTCAAATGCCTGGAGGTAGGAGAGGACCTCTGACACAATGCTCAGCATCCTCAGCGTGTAGATATTGGTGTCAGAAAACACTGACTCCTGCTTCTGCAGGCACTCCCAGCATAATTTCACAACCTAGAAGAGACATAGGCCCTGTCCATTACCAATGCACCACACGCAGCACATGTTTAATTTACATATGGAGGCTCACAATGACATTGGGCACCCTTCTTTGAAAGTTGAGGAAATTGTTGACAGAAGTGGGAAAGCAACAGTTTGTGGTTTGAACAGCAAAATGGTCCTATCAGGGTAAGATGTAGGGATGGAAAGGGTAACTGCAGTTATAGCTGAATGGCAAAACAAGAAGTTTTCATATATAAGTCAGTTGATAGCAGGGAGTTATGAAAGATATAGATCTATCTATACATCATTTTAGATATATATGATGTATTTAGATACATCATTTTTACTCTCACAATAATGCAGTGAGATAGATACCACTAATATCCCTGTTTTACCAGATAAGAAACTAAAGCACAGAGAGGGTAAGTGCTTTGCCGAGGTCGTGTACAATGGGCAAACCAAGCAATCGAGCCTTGTCTTGACCACCTTTCCTGTGATTCTCCACCCTGGCTATGCTCTGGAATCACCTGGAGACATTTTTAAAAATACCTATGCCTGAGCCTTACCCTCAGAACAATTGAAACCAAATACAGAATCTGGGGAAGGGACCCTGGCCTCTGTGGTTCGCATAAGCCCCAGGTGGTCCTTGTGAGCGGTGAGGTTGAACAGTCAGGTTGGCTCTGCTTCAAGTATACGAGATGGACTGGCAGGGAGGGAGTCTCCTGGGAAGCTGCAGAGCCATGAGGAGAACACCACAATGGTCCTGGTGAGAAACAAGATGGGTCTGACCCCATCAGCCTGCAGCCAGGCTGTTCTGCCTGGTTCATGTGTAGACACGGACTCAGGTTGTGCTCTGTGAAGTCAGATGGTTGTTAGGTTTCAGTTGTCCGCGATTCTCTTCTTTCTCCCTTGCCACCATCATGGGAGAAATGCCACACAATTCTTTCCATTTTAAATGCGTGGAAACTAATTTTGCTCTGAGATCACAGGCCCATGAGTCAACTGGGTGGGGGCATGACAAATATAGGCTGGCCATCCACCTGTCCTACAGGCCGTTCTCTTACACGGTGGGGCAGTGTCCAGCCCCACACCTGCCCCTGGGTGGTTCTGATTGGAGAAAAGGAGAAATGAAGAGGAGGGGAGAAGCCAGAGGAATGGGGTGAGTAGGGCCCTCCTGATTTCTTCAGCTCCTATCTCATGCCTCTGACACAGATTTTCCATGCTGTTCAATAACACTTTGTTCACATGACCGTCTCCCCCACCTGAAGGAGCTCTGGGAGTCAAGGAGAATGTCCTGTATCAAACTCCCCTGTTAAGGGCTCAAAAATGTGCAAAGAGCGAGTAAGTAAAGGATGAAAATGAAGACCTCTCTTAATTTTCATGAGTTGTTTAAAGAGCTTGGAAAAAATATGGATTTGTTTCCTGTGTTCTGTTGCAGATTGGATAAATCAATCTTAGGAAGTGAGATACCGGAATCTATATTTCTAAAAAGCTGCCTAGGTGAATTCAGTGTAAGTGCTCTGCAGGTCAGTGGGTCTCAACTTTGGATGTGCATTGAAATCACTTGCAAGCTTTAGAAATCCTGGTGTCTGGGTCCCATCCCAAGAAAGTCTGGAAGAGTTGTGCTGGGTTAGGGTCTGAGCAGTAGGATTTCTCAGTGACTCCAGCATACAGCCAGCTGAGAACTCCTGGTGCTTCGGGAGCCAGGGCTAAATGCTCAGTTAGTAGAGACTGGAAACTGTAGCCAAGATATCCATCTGATTATAGGAAAGCAAGCAACCCACTGCCATCTTCATTTTTCCATTTCTAATGCCAACCTGAGATATCACAGATGCCCCGGCGACATTTGTCAGGCTGCCTCTGTTATCGGCCCCAGTTCCAGTGGGTTGAATAGTCACTGAGAACACACCCCTAGGAAGTACTAAAAACACAGGGGCAAGAGGAGTCCTGGTCTCAACAAAGGGACATTTCCTGAAAATCAGCCTGCTTGGTAGCCTCTCCAGCTTCACTCCACCCCATTTCACTTCCTGACTGGAGAAAGTTTCTGCCTTCCTCTCCACCCCTATCCACCAATAAAAGGAATTCTTACCTCATGGTACAAGCCCTCAGAGCGAGCCTTGTCAATTTTTTCTAGTATATCCTTAGAGCACTGTGTCATCTCCTTCACCGAGTCCTGAGAGGGCTGGGGAAGGGAGTGACACTGCATTACATTTCTGCATAGTTGCCATCTTCGATGTTCAATGTGTTACAAAATTGATGCCTTCCCCATTCTGAAAGCTTCATTTCTATAAATGCTGTGCAAGATCCCTATAGCTTTTCCAGCTCTCTCATCACGCTCTGACTCATGTTGTGGTTGCCATGGACCAAGCCCCAGAGCCTTACTGCCAGGCAGTCATCCTTACCCTGTACTCATGCCTGGGCTTTTGGACCCAGTACAGAATCTGACATTGCCTCCCGTTGTATTTTCTCTGGCATTTTGGATTCTCATTCTATCACCCAAAATATTTTCCATCCTTTCTCTGTACTCCAAGTCAATCATATACATTGATACTACAGATATGCCCTTGCTTTTTTGTCTTTGCCCAAGTCATTGACTTAAATACTGGCCAGCACAGGGCTGAGAACAGAGGCTGAGGACTTTACTAAAGTCTGTGCTCCACTTTTCCACTGTGGTCCATGGAAGACAGCCTCTAGACTATGGGAATCCAACCCTCCCAAGTGTCTTAGCATCCAGTTCATATTTCCTTGTTTTCACCAAAAGGATATTATGAGAGAATTTGTCAGCTGTCTCTGTGACATCTAGACTCATTAGGCTCACTGCATTTGCCTGAGGAATCCAGTGATATTGTTTTTAAAATGTGGTTTTGATATTTGAGGCAAGGAGATACCATAATGAAGAAGTCTATGAGGGCACCATAATTTCAAAGAAAAAGTGCCAAAATTTTTCATAGTCCAAAGGAAAAGTGTATCTGCTGTGCTTATCTATATTAAAACTCTTTTCTCATTTTTGTTTGCTTAGGCAAATATGATCAAGTTTTTTCCAAAATGAAAATAAGTTTATTATTTATTCTGACTATAAAATTAAAATATATGAAAAAAGTATGGAGAACAAAGTAATTCCCCAAACCCATCCCAAAGATGGACACAGCATTTTGAGGAACATTTTACCATATATATAATATATATATGAGTAATATTTAAAATATTTAACAACTGGCACAGTAAAGGCACTGACAAATTAGAACAAACACCAACCATAGACAGTGAGTGTCCCTACATGGCCTTCTCCGTGTGTTTGGCTGGATTGCAGTCCTATATATGCACACACATGTGTGTGTATATGCTGATAGAATCAAATATTTTTTCCTATTTATTCTGGTTTTTATTTTATTTTTCAACAACAATTTACATGCAGGGTCATAGAGCTACAGCAAAGGCTTCCTAATTATTGAATTTATTAGGGTGACATTGGTTAATAAAACCATACAGGTTTCAAGTGTACAACTCAATAAACCATCATCTGCACACTGCATCGCATCATACGTTCACTGCCCAAAGTCAAGTCTCTTTCCTTCCCCATTTATCCCTTCGTTGTTCACCTCCATCTCCCCCATCCCCCTTTCTTTCTGGCTATCGCCATACCTTTGTCTGTGTGTATGTGTCTCATATATACATATTTTTTTGCTTAATCCTTTCACCTTTTTTCACCAAGCCCCTCAACCCTCCTCCCCTCTGACAACTGTCAGTCTGTTCTGTGTATCTATTCTTCTGTTTCTATTCTGTTTGTTAAATTATTTTGTTGATTAGATTCCACATATAAGTGAGATCAGGTGGTATTTGTCTTTCTCTGACTAATTTCACTTAGCATGATACCCTCTAGATCCATCTATGCCGACTCAAATGGTAAGATTTCATTCTTTTTATGGCTGAGTAATAGTCCACTATATATATCCCATAGTCCAAATATTTCACTATACATATATTCCACTATATACATATATAGTGGAAAAGAATTGGTGTGTGTGTATACACACACACACACACACACACACACCCCATTGGTATATATACCATTAATATATATGATATTCCACATGGTATATCTATATCATATATATACACACCATTTTTTCTCCATTTGTCTATTGATGGGCACTTGGGTTGCTTCCATATCTTGGCTACTGAAAATAATGCTACAGTGAAGGTAGGAGTGCATATATCCTTTTGAATTAGTGTTTTGGGTTTCTTTTAATATCTACCCAGAAGTGGAATTGCTGGGTCATAAGGAAGTTCCATTTTTAATTTTTTACAGAACCTCCACACTGTTTTCCACAGTGGCTGCACCAGTCTGTATTTCCACCAACAGTGCTCAAGTGTTCCCTTTTCTCTACCACCTCTCTAGCACTTGCTTGCTGTTTATTGATTTATTGAGGATAGTTATTCTGACAAGTACAAGGTGATGTCTCTTTGTGATTTTAACATGCATTTCTCTGATGATTAGTGACAGTGAGCATCTTTTTATATGTCTATTTGCCATCTCTATCTCTTCTTTGAAGAAATGTCTATTTAGGTCCTCTGCCCATTTTTCAATTGGATTGTTTGTTATTATGGTGCTGAGTTGCATAAGTTCTTTATAAATTTATGATGTTAACCCCTCACTGCATGTATCATTAGTGAATATCTTCTCCCATTCAATAGGTTATCTTTTTGTTTTGTTGATTGTTTCTTTTGCTGTGCAAAAAAATTCAGTTTGATATAGTCCCATTTGTTTACTTTTTCTTCTGTTTCACTTGCCCAAAGAGATATATCAGGGGGGAAAAAAACATTGCTAAGTTAAATGTCAGAGAATTTAATGCCTATGTTTTCTTCTAGAAGTTTTATGGTTTTGAGTCATACATTTAAATCTTTAATCCATTTTGAGTTTTATTCTTGTATATGATGTAAGAAAGCAGTCATTTCATTTTTTTGCATGTAACTGTCAAATTTTCCCAGCACCATTTATTGAATAGACTACTTTTATCCCTTTGTACACTCTTGACTCCTTTGTCAAATATTGACCATATAAGTGTGGGCTTATTTCTGGGCTCTTTATTCTGTTCCACTGATCTCTATGTCTGTGTCTATGCCAATACCATGCTGTTTTGATTAATACAGACTTGGAGTACAGTTTGATACCAGGTAATGTGTACCTTCAACTTTATTATTCATCCTCAAGATTGCTGTGGCTGTTTGGGGTCTTTTGTGGTTCCACATAAATTTTAGGATTATTTGTTCTAGTTCTGTGAAATATGCCATTGGTATTTTGGTAGGAATTGCATTGAATCATAGATTACTTGGGCAAGTCTCTTCCTTTTGCACCTCAGATTCCTCATCTGTAGATGATGAGTTGGACTAACTTATTAACACTTCCTTCAAGCTGTATATCCCTGGTGACATCACAGTTGCCTTTCTTTCTTTTGTTCAGAATTCTTGGTCCCAGCCTGATAAGCCCCCTCAGTATAGCAGCCATTATGACTCATCCCCAAACTTTCAACTGACACCAAAATCATTCCTGACTTCTTAATATATGTATGTGCAAACCTAAATAAAAATAAAAGCCAAATATTTAGAAAATAAAACTGAAATTAACATTCTCCATAATTGTAGCTTTACACTTTCTTCATTTAGCCTCCTTAAGTTTTTCTATTTCTCTCTCATCAGCTGTATTTCTCAATAGGAGCATGGCAATTTTTCAAGGTTGGAGAATCAATCTCTCTCTTTCTCCCTCTACCTTTTCTTCTGATTCCTCCTCTTGTGGCCCCTTTCCCTCCTGTTCTGGCTCTTCCCCCACTGTTCCTCTCTTTTTTCTATTTTGTGATGTTTCTGGTGGGCCTCACTGGGTGGGACTGGGGTGGTGGCTGTTTTTACTGCCCCACACAAGATTTGGTGCAACAGTTTCTGAAAGGTGTTGCAGTCAAGACCCCTGGCTGGTCATGCTCTTAGAGTACTTGCATTCCCAGCCCAGAGACCTTTCTTTCTAGGTCCCTTTCCTGAGGCTCTGCTCTGAGGTCTTCTAGACCCTTCTAGGAAGGCCTCCTGTTGGGGGAGGAAGTGAGGAGACTTGCAGACAGACACTTTTCCCCACTCTGACTCAGCACCCAGTGCTTTTCCTCTCCTAGTCTTTCCCCCATGCCCTCTCCCCCGACCTCTCACCTCAGGGCTCATAAAGCTGCTGGACCCTTTTATTCTGGGCCCCTCAGCAGTGAGATGAGCCCCACATCTGTGCTGATCCACCTGACCCTCCACCAGTATACCTTTCCATGGGGACAAATGAAATAGGGGGAGTCTGCCTGCCCCAGTTCAGCCTCTTGCTTATCCCACTGTAGGAAGTGATTAAGAGAACACTGCTTTAATTGGCTACTTCAACACTTGGCAGCTCCACTTTCTCCCAGCTCACTTGAACTCCTGACATCCCCCTCAGTAAGCCTTCCCTTTGTTCTGTGGTCTCACCATCAATTAGGCAATAGTTTCTCAGTATTAAGCAAATTAACCAACCTAAACATTGCCCCATCTCCACATTGCCCACTTCCATGGGACTAGGAATATCTTTATAATAACCAGACAATGCATCTCTTTGACCAACTGGTCTCAATATGTGAAATTTTAAGCATTAAACTGCAAAGGAGCAAAGAGAGGACTAAAATTTACGGAATGTCTGTTGTTTATGCCACACCCTTTACTTATATAATTTTGTTAAATACTCATAATGACCCTTGTAGTGGTTGTCATCGCTCCTATGTTACAGATGAGAAAACTGAGTAATGCCCAAACTCAAATACCCAGCAAGTGGTGGTGTCTAAGCACTAGCTAGGACCTGTCTGCAGTGCACCACACAGTCTTCCCAGGGGTTACAGACTGGCCTCCTGGAAACTAATGAGCAGGGGTGTGCTGATTAGCTGTGGAATCCACCCATGTCTGGCTCCTGCATAGGTGGACCCAAACACCCCCAGAGTAGGGCTGTGTGTACCTTTGGGTCTTCTTTCACCCCTAGGAAGAGGTCATCCTTCAGCCCTTTCTGGCAGTGCTCACAAGTGCAGTCAAAGTAGTACTGCTTCTTCAGCTGCTTCCTGCGCTCTTCACTGACATTAAGGAAGTCGATATAGGATACTGTCAGTTCTTCTCCTTCTGAGATCTTGCCCAGGGCCCGGAGCTCAATTCTAGAGCAGAGGAAAGGAAAGGAGTAAATAAAATTCAGGTTATCCAAGTAGCATTTTTGCTTTTCAAGTTTCAAGGAGTTGAGTCTCAAAGACAACTTCCCTAGCACTTGAGAAAACTCCCATTCCCATTCAGGATGAAAGAAGGTAAAGGGATTAACCAAAAAACATATGATCATAACACACAGACATACACAACAGTGTGGTGATAGCCAGAGGGTAAAGGTGGGTGGAGGAAGGTGGAGGTGAAGAAAGGCAGGGAGAATGGGGCTAGAAAGACTTTGTTTGGAGCAATGGGCACACAATGCAGCATGCCGACAATGTTTTATTGAGTTGTACACTTGAAAACTCTATGGTTTTGTGAATCAATTTCACTCCAACAAATTTAATACAAAATAATTTTTAAAAAGAAAGAAAGAGCCCTGGCTGGTGTGGCTCAGTGGACTGAATGCTGGCCTGTGAACCAAAGGGTCACCAGTTCAATTCCCAGTCAGGGCACATGCCTGGGTTGTGGGCCAGGTCCCCAGGACGGGTGCATGAGAGGCAATCACACATTGATGTTTCTCTCCCTCTCTTTTTCTCTCCCTTCCCCTCTGTCTAAAAATAAATATATAAATAAATCTTTTTGAAAGGAAGGAAGGAAGGAAGGAAGGAAGGAAGGAAGGAAGGAAGGAAGGAAGGAAGGAAAAGAAAGAAAGGAAGGAAGGAAGGAAGGAAGGAAGGAAGGAAGGAAGGAAGAAAGAAAGAAAGAAAGAAAGAAAGAAAGAAAGAAAGAAAGAAAGAAAGAAAGAAAGAAAGAAATTCTTCCAAAAAGGGGAGATGTAGCCTAACGGACAGTTTTCTAGATAAGTCTGCTCTACTCATTATGATAATCAAATCTGCTCCATTCTGTGAATTGCTCTGAAATCTGCTCAAATAGATTCCCGGTAGACTACTGGTCTTGGTCTTAAAACCACATATAGCTCCTATGTCCACAATTATCCATGTGCAATTATCCAATCAGTTCCTGATTATAAACAAAGAGGGGAGAAATAATAAAATGAAAACTCAAGAGAAGACTCAATAGTCATTTCTGCTTAGTTTGGGAACTGCTCCCTCAGAAACACACATATTCAGTTACCCACAATCTTGTCCTATTCTGTATCTAACTATAAGACCCTTCTTATCTCAACCAGTGGTTCAGGCCCACATTATGTGAGGAAACTGATTGAGGAGGTCCTTGACAGCAAACAGAGCCTGGCTCTGTTAATCTGCTGCATCGTTCACTTTTGTGTTTATTAGGGATAGGGCTTTTTAGCTGAAGGTGGTTAGCAAGAGCAGATGGCATTTCAATCCCCTTCCAGCCTAGACCTGACCCTCTAATGACCTAGAGCACAACCCACTTTGCCATGTAATAGATGCAAAATGTTCTGAAGGCAAAAGCTCACCGCAGAACTCACATCCAGGTAAGCCAAACAAGCAGAGATCAGCCTGTGGGCCTCTCAGCCATTCACAAGGCCAGAAACTGCAGAAAACAAGTGGTGAGCCCTGCAAGCTGGACCCTAAGCTGTGCTTCTATATCTCCCCAGTACTCTAGAGCCCCACTACCCAGTGGGAAACCAATGCCCAGAGAGTGAGTAGCAGGATGCAGAGGTTGGGCAGAGCTTCTGCAGAGAGGTCCATGGTCATTTCTTTTACCTCCCAGAGAGGCTGTCAGACACTGTGTAAAAGGTGGGACAAGATTTCACCACCACAGAAGCATCCTAGTTCAAGGCATCCTCTTCCACATGCACTGAAGTGACAATTGATTAAGCAACTACTGAATAGCAGTGACATGCATGTCCAGGCACTAGAGGTGACCACTTAAGGTTAAAAATCTTTCTCCCAAAGTGGAGTACACTGACATGCCAAATAAATGCAATTATATATATAATATATGTTATATATATATAATTGTATGTATATATATATACACACACACATGCACACACACACAACTCATATGCCAACTCACCTAGCAAAATCTAAGTTCCCTTTCATCTATTATTCCTTCTTTCCTTTCTTCCCCATCCCAATTTTTTGCAGCAGCTCTTACTGAAGTGATGAAAGGCAAGAGGGATAGGGGTGCCCAGTGAGTCTACCCACAGCTCTGCTTGGAATCCCAGTATGTTCGAGCTGCAGGGAATCAACCCCCTCATTTCACAAATGAGGATACTGATGCCCAGAGAAGTGAATTAACTTCCCCAAAGGTCCCATAGCACTTTGGCAACGGAGTCAAGATTAGAACTCAAGTGCCATTCATGCCTTGCCACATCATATTAGCCTCACCTGGTTGTTTTCAGCCTGCCTCGTGAGTCTGCAATGCATGGGAAGTAAGATGCACCAAAGCCCTTAGTTTTAGGACTCTACTAATTTCCTAAATAGTTCCATGTGAGCAATATCTGAGTCAGTGTTGAGTGTGGCTCCCAGGCGTTTGGTCATGGTAGGGTCAATAAACATGCTACACCCACCAGCCCCTTTTACAGAGGCAGTTTTCCATAGTAACATATCTCCATTCAATAGGGATTCAATGGCCCATCAGTTAGAATTTCCAGTAGCTTTATGTCCCATCATGATTAAGCCAGTTTGTACAAGGTCTCCAAGTATCTCAATTTACGTCAGTAATATTAGAGAATTTTAAACTAAATTAATTTCACTTACATATGAAAAAATGTGTATATGTACACCCCATTTAACTAACTTGGAATTGGGGATCAGGGAATGAATAGTGACCACCACTCCATCCTGGACACCAGCCCCCTTCTTTCTCTAATGCTCTGCAATGCTATAGTTCAGCCAATTGAGCGACAAGTAACAATCAATTTAAGTATTTCTTGTACAGACTGGGAATGTCCCTTGAGACACTCTCATCTTGACCTTTGCTCTACAGATGTGGGCCAAAATGCCCAGGAGATGATGTGAATCATTCAAAGTCACATGCAGTACATGCCAACAGGCTAAGGTGCACAAACCACTCTCCCCTGCACTCCTAAAGCCCAGACTCCCATGCAGCATTTTGTTTTAAATGCAAAGAGAATTTCCAGTATTTCAAGCCCAACTTGAGAAAAAAGACCCATTTGGGGCTATTTGGTTGTGATTAAGAAAAGTCAAAAGTAAAATCTAACCCAAACTGCTAACTCATAGTTGTCCAGAAGCAGTAAACAGAACACTATGAATAAATATTTATCAAAATATCACAGTTATGGGTATAATTTTCAGAAACCAGTCTGGGTGAGATGTTGGGGGTTATAAGAAAACATGTAGCCCTTTAGTAGGTCAGTTATATCAGCAGTCCCCATTTCATGGTAAGCAGGGTTTAGAGGGACAATGTGAACAAGATGATGTGGGCCAGAAAGGACTATCACACTTTGATGTTGGGGGAACAAGAGAAGTAAGGAGTGAAAGAGGAGGAAGAAAGAAAGCAAAGTACCAAAAAGCCATGTCAGGTGGTAGGTGAGTGAAGAAGAAAATAATTAATTTAAATACTTAAGAATACAGCATTCAAAAAGAGGAGACTCTGGGGTGCAGAAGGACATTACAGACAGACAGCAGCCATGGAATCTTGGGAAGGGGTGGCCCCAGCAAACCAGGCAAGTGAGGGAGGTGGGTCAGAGGAGCAGGGAAGTTTGCAAGAACTGACCCACCTCATCTGGGTGTGAAACATGGATTTCACTGCCTCATGACTGAAAGACAAAACAGACACCCAAATAGAAATCATTACCATTGACTGATCCTGCACAGCTAGCAAGGGTGCACAGTATTTCGGGTTATACAATCAAAGCTTTGGCCATAACAACAACTTCTATCCCAGCCCCTATAGCTGGGCTCACTTGACAAGATGTAGCCTGGTATAGTGGAAAGTTCACTGCATTTAGAATGAGAGGTTTTGGGTTCAAAAATATGCAGCCCTGGACAAGTGACTTCCCACTCCAGGCTTCCGTGTTCTCATCAACAACCTAGCAATAAGATTCATGAGACAATGCATTTTAAAGTAGAATGCTATCCTGGCTGGTGTGGCTCAGTGGATTGAGTGCCGGCCTGCAAATGGAAAGGTCACAGGTTCTATTCTCAGGCAGGGCACATGCCTGGGTTGCAGGCCAGGTCCTCAGTAGAGGGCACACATGAGTGGTAACCACACATCCATGTTTCTCTCCCTCTCTTTCTCCCTTCCTTCCCCTCTCTCTAAAAACAAATAAATAAAATATTTTAAAAAATAAGATAAAAGGATGGAAAGCTATTATTATCTCACTAACAAGTATCTTAGACAAATAGGCATTGCCTCTTTTGATGTCTACTTCACAGAGAGTTTGAACTGTGTATGGAGACTGGTTAGGTCACACAGGTAGCAGATAAAAATTGTTGGGGTTAAAATTGGGCCGCTAACATCATGACCAGTATTCTTTCCACTATGGCAGGCAGCTAGACAGGGACTGAAAAGTCACTTTCTCTTGCACAACAGCCAAGAAGCCCAGGTAAAACGTGGCTGCTCAAAATTAGTGGGTGCATAGAAACCACAGCAGATTCTGGAAATGACCTGAAAAATGGGCTCCCAGGTTCCTGTGACTGTCACATGTAGTGACAAGAGCCCTGGGTCACCATTGCTTAGTGGAGGGGTATCCAGAAAGGCCAGCCCTGTGTATGGCTGAATTTGATCCTTTCTGCCAACCAGGCTAACCCTGGACAACAGAAGGCTTAGGAAGGGAAACACAAATGTTGTGAAAAGATTATCATCTGGATGCAAAATAAACTCCCCTGTCTTCAGTGACTTTCTCAGTTGCTTAAGAGCCTGATGTCATGTGGGCCCTTGCTTCCAGAAATGGGAAAGAAAAGGGAAATCAGAGTTCCTATTATATTGGGGCTTAGACCTGATTCCTGGCTCAGAACCAGAAACTATTGTCTTTGGTTTACAGGAAGTTTGGGGGGAAACCTGCTCAATGCCAATGGCTCAGAGTCAATTTGCATTTGTCATAAGAGCTTGTCTCTAAGAGCAAAAACAATATTGTTCAGGCCTCATTCTCCCAAATCCCCCCAGCCTGAGCCGTGGGTAGTTATCTTATCTTGTTTGCTGACTCTTCTCCTTTGCACTCCACCCCCAAACTCCATTCTTTACCCTTCTGTCCCCTCTGGGCCTTCTTCAGGGTGGAGTCGGGGGTGGGGGGCAGTTGATGACTGACCTCTGAGGACCTCATCACCCTGTTTGCTTTGCACGTTCACTTCAGCTTCAGGTTGGCCAATGGGAGGAGAGAGAGTTGGGGTGCTTAGTCTCCTGGCTCCCTCCCTGCTGCCCATGGTATAAGCAGTGGCTGCTTTCTCTACAGGCACAGCCAAGCTGGTGGGGGAGGGGAGAGAAAGGGTCTCTCCAATGGCTGGGGCGCTTACCAACCACAACAGTACGTCTTTCGCTTCCAAGGTCTAGAGGTAATAACAGTTTCATGCTGCTGCTAGACCCTGGACACCTCACCATTCCTTGTTAGTTGCTTAAATGCTACCCACACTTCTATAAATTATCCTTTTATTAAATTCCCTTCAGGTAGACTCTGAGCATGCCTTCTGATATCTGCTGAGACCTTGACTAATATAGGCTTCTGCCAAGTGCCTTCTCTGTTGGTGATGTTTTGTAATGAGCTCTAGATAGGTAATTCAAGGCATCAGGTTTTAAAATAGTAGTTAGAGGTTTATCTGACATATCTAGGCAAGCTCAATAAACACAAAAAGACTCAGAAATTACCCATATGGAATTCTTTACTATCCCCCTCATTACCTTCTCTTAGCCACAATTATTCTAAAGGAAATTCCTATTTTCTTCCCATTTGAAATCCATGCTAGTTCAGGTTCAACAGTTTACCTTTGGTTTAAGCCAAGTGGAAAAAAACATCATAAGGCCTCCCCATCCCCATCCCACACCCCCAGTGAAAGACATACTCACTTGCCATTGTTAAATATGACGGTGCAGTTGGGCCAGCAGTCGTGGTTCACCAGACCCAGGTTGGGGAAGATGCCCACGCCCACTGCCTGTAGGCCTCTCTGATCACTGAGCGTGAAGCCATTGCAGTTAATCTACCCAGAGGAAAAGATAAACAAGTCAGCTAACAGACACAGACTAGGGACAGAACACCATTCTACCGAAAGTTTTTAAAAGATAATAAAATATTAAAAACCAAGTCTAATCCTGGAAATGCTTAGAGAATGTGGAAATAAAACAGTCTCCTATTCTCTGTGTGAGTCCAAATGACCCTCAAGATTAGTGCCACAGGCAGATCTCATATTTGCTAAAATACAACACCACCTTGAAAGTTTGAGGTAGCTGTTTTCTAAAAAGACCAAAGATGGAAATGTTGGTTCTGAAAGTGTCTCCCTTTCCTGTATCAGGGTGTTACATGAGCCTTCCCCAGTATCTGTCTGGTTTCTCTCCGTGACTACTCTGCGTTAATGGGGGTGCCTGTGCACAAGTCTGTGTGTCTCCCCCACCTCCTGCCTCCTTGGTCTACCCACCCTCAACTTCTATAGCTGCTCATAAGATAAAATTGACATCTTTTTCTTATTATTTGTGTCTGCTGAATATTTATACTCCCAGTTCACAATTTTAAACTCTGATGAGTGTGACATTTATGTCTGAATCCAAGGCAAATCAAATTGGTTATTTATGGCACTCCCTTTATTTCCTCTTCCTTAAAAACAAGTGGTTCTTTATAGAAACAGGTTCCAAATATCTATCAGGGTATGAAAATGCATAAGAATTAGTATAACTTAAAATACATTAACAACTGCACAGAAATGTCTGCTTTATCTATAAATAATATAAATAAATATATACTATACATACTATAATATACATTGATATATGTATATTGATATGTGTAGTACATGGCCATTTGTTACTGATATTGGAGGACTGTCACTTCCTCCATTCTGTCTCCTGGGCCATTCAGCAAGGGGGTGAAGTTAGGCCTGTCAACACCACTAACAAGCTGTGTTACCTTAGTTAAATTTCTTTTTTTCTCTGAGCCCAGGTTTCCCCATCTGTAGGTTGGACTAGATGACTTCTATGATCCTTTCAGTTCTACACTTTGGTGATTATGCCATTCTGTGGCTATAGTCACCATGCCACCTAGGGATACACAGAATGGTCTATGACACTCATTCACCCCAAGCCTGTGGAGCCTAACAGCTAAGATTAGCAACTCTGCCACCAGGCAGACTGCTGCTAGCCCTGGCATGGACACTAGCTCGCTGTGGAAGTCTATAACCCCTCTGGGCCTAGGCTTTCTGTTTATAATGTAGGAATGTTAAAAGCACAAACTGTACCTTGTATTATAAAGATGGCATAAAATAATACATGGTAAGATGTGCTAGTCAATTTTATGTGTGGTACCCACATATGTGGTCAAACATTTTTCTCTATGTTTCTGTGAAAGTGTTTTTGGATAGATTAGCATTTAAATCAGTAGATTTTGAGTAAAGCAAATTACCCTGCACAGTGTAGATGACCTCATGCAATCAGTTAACAAACTTAATAGAACACAGGATGACTTCCCCTGATCATGAAGGAATTCTGCGGGCAGTTGGCCTTTGGACTCAAACTGCAACTCTTTTTTTGCGGGGGCGGGGGGGGGGGGGGTCCTGCCTGCCAGCTTATCAGCAGATTTTGAATTTAACAAGCCTCCACAATCTCAAGAGCTAATTCATTAAAATAAATCTTCTCCTCTCAATAGACAGATGATGGACAAATAGATGATAGATACATACATACATACATACATAGACAGATAGTTCTGTTTCTCTGGAAAACTCTATTATAGAAGCACCGGCACATGGTAAGCACATGATAAGAGATGTTGGTTGTGATCATGCTGTTGTTGTTATTACAATAACCCCCCTGTTCAGTTCACCAACACCAGAGAAGGTGCTGGGCCAGCCACATAGAAGACATCTACCCCCACTGCCCAAGGCCTGCTGATCCTCAGGACCCCCATCCCTACCTCCTGGACTCTGATGACTACAAGAGGCCTGGCTTTGTTGCTACAAGACAGCGCACTCTGAAAGGCCCTTATTTTCCTGTCTCTGGCTTCCATACCCACCACTCTAGGCTCCCCATTATCCTGCCCATCAGATCTGGGAAAAGGAAGGACATTTTTTTCCCAAAGTAACTAATTAGGTAGGAAGGGATGATGGGTCTTTGTCTTCAGTGTGGAAAGGAGGAAATACAGGAAATGCAAGTCAACTAGAAGGTAAAATATCATCCAAATCTACCATTCAGAGATAATGGAATATGCTCTAGCTTGTGTGGCTCAGTGAATTGAGTGCCAACCTGCAAATGGCAAGGTCACAGGTTCAATTCCCAGTCAGGGCACATGCCTGTCTTTTGGGCCGGGTCCCCACTTGGGGTGCACATGAAAGACAACCAACCAATGTATCTCTCTCACACTGATGTTTCTCTCCCTCTCTTTCTCCTTCCCTTCCCTCTCTCTAAAAATAAATAAATATTTTTTTAAAAAAAGAGATAATGGAATGTTTGTGTTGGGGTACCAAATTCAGATAGGTCAGGAATAACCTCATGTAATGAGTAACCTCATAGCAAGACAAGAAAGACAGAGGACTAGATGACAGTTGTTCATTTTAGGGCTCTGTCTCCCTGCAGCTCTTGGCCCCTCCTCCCCACTCTGGCCTGGCAGTTTCTGAATACTTCTTCACTGGACAATCCCAGCTGTCACCCACACCCACTTCATGAGAAATCATACCACGCCAAAGATGTGCGAGATGTACTGCATGCTGAACTGCTGGCTCTGGGGCAGCCAGTACTGCAAGAAAGTGTCCATGTCCACTCTCAGCTGCTTCTGCTCCTCTTCCCCGAAGTTCTCCACATGGTTCTGTAGGTCATCCACGGAGACCAGGCAGCCCTCTGTGAGCCCAGTACCCTCTCTCTCCACCCGCCACATGATACGTGCAGCCAGCCTGTGAAGAGGGGCACGATTATGGAGACCCCACTGCATTCATTCATTCAACAAACACTTACTGACTCCCTAAAACATTGCACAGTATGGGGCCCAATATACAGCTCTGAACTAGACAGAATTTTTTCTATCATGAAGTTTGTATAGTGGGGGAGACAAAAACTTATTAAAGATTATTTAAACTAGGGTTAAATGCTATGCAGAAAATAGAATAGGGTGACATGATAGAAAGTGGCAGGAGGTTGAAGAGGAGCCAAGGGAATCAGGGGAGGTGGCATAGGGGAGTCACACTCAAGCTGAAAGTGGAATGAACAGGAGCCAATTCTGTACCAATGGGGAAAGAGCAGCGAGTATAAGAAGGAGTAATAGCAAGAAGACCAAGGAAGCTGAAACACGAGTGAGGAGTGAAAAGTAAATGAAAGTGAAGAGGTGGACAGAAGCCAGGCCACATGGGGTCTAGGAGACCAAAAAAAGGCCTGGTGACACTGTGAGGTATGGCAGCCTGGGTCTCTCCTGGTGGTATGACTGAGATGAGCACTGGAAGAATCTAATGGCCTGTGTTCAAGTCTGTTTCTACTCTTTACTGTGTGACCTCCCTGAACTTATCTAATGACCATTAAAATGAGGATAATAACTATTCCATGCCATGCTAACCTCCAAAGGTATTTGGAAGCCAAAGGGAGGTAATAGATGTCCACATCATGTGTGAACTTACTTATATTCTTAATGATTAGATAAAGAGAAGGTGAAGAAGGCATCTAGATGAGGAAGCAGTATAAGCAAAGGCCTGGATGCAGCCTGAAGCATGGCATAAGCTGGAAGCAGGGAAGGATCAGGTCTGGCTGGAGCTGAGGGCTCAGGAGAGCACAGGGCTGAGTGTGAGACAGAGGGGTACATTTAATCCTGAGGGCAGAGAGGGCCCCCCTGTCGACTATTAAACAGCCCATACCCACAAGATGAAGCCTGTAACCAAGGGACACTTTGGCAACTCTCTGCCATTCACTGACTGCAGGCTAGCCAATTACCAGGGAGGGCTGGTGGCTTAGGGCAGAACCTGCCTCTGAAGAGAAACCCCCTTGACAAAACATAGCCTTTTTTTTCTTTCATCTGGGTCACAGGGTTATTTCTATAGAGTTGCACTGCTGGGTACCCCAGGTGCCTAAGAGCCAAGATGCCCCCACATGGAGGCCAAGACAGAACTGTGGAAAATAAGACTCAGTTTGGGGTGTCTGCTACCTCTGAATATTAGAAAGAATGTTGCAAAGCTCAGAGAGTAGAGACTAATGGGTGACACATTTCAACCCAGTATCAGAAGAAATTACCAACTGGGACTGTGCAGCTGGAGGGAGTGACCTCCTCATCACAGGAGATAACATTTCCTTCTGGCCTTAAAGACTAAGATATCAAAGAGATATCTGCACCCCCATGTTCACTGCGGCAATACTCACATTAGCCAAGACATGGAAATAACCTAATGGCCATCAGCAGATGAATGGAAAAAGATGTGACATTTTATATATTTAATCATGAAATAGAAGGAAATCCTGCCACTTGCAACAACATGGATGGAACTTGAGGGCATTATGCTAAGTGAAACAAGCCAGAGAGAGAAAGACAAATAGTGTATAGTTTCACTTATATGTGGAAATTTTTTTAAGTCAAACTTATAAAAGCAAAGAGTGGAAAAGTGTTTGCCAGGGATGGGTGGTGGGGGACAATAGGGAGAAGTTAGTAAAAGGGTACAAACTTTCAGTTATAAGATGAATAAGCTCTGAGAATCTAATGGAAAACATGATGACTATATCGATAACACAATATTTTATAATTGAAATTTGCTAAAAGAGAAATTAAATGTTCTTATACACACACAAAAAGATAAATATGTGACGTGACAGATGTGTTAGTTAACTAGATGGGGGGAATCCTTTTACAATGTGCATATATATTGAATCACTACAATGCACATTTTAAATACCTTACAATTTAGTTCTGGCTAAGATGGAGACATAGGTAGATATGCTTTGCTTCCTCACACAACCAAAAAAAAACCCCAACAAATTCAAAAACAAAAAACAACCAGAAATGCTAGAAAATCTGTATGGAAGTCTAACAACCAAAGAGTTAAAGAAGAAAGTCATCCAGACCAGTAGGAGGGGCAGAGATGGGCAGTCGGTACAAGGAGGACATGTGGCAAGGTGGCAGCTGGAGGATCAGGAGGTCCCATATTTGCATGCAGATAAACCGGGAGGAATAACCAGGGAGCAAGATAGACTGAACAACCCAAGAATCCAGTGCAGGGAAATAAAGCCTCAAAACCTCTGGCTGTAAAATGTCTGTAGGGGTTGTGGTGGCAGGAGAAACTCCCAGCCTCACAGAAGAGTTCTTTGGAGAGACTCACAGAGTCCTAAAATGTACACAAGCCCACCCACCTAGGAATCAACGCCAGAAGGGCCCAATTTGCTTCTGGGTAGCCAGGGAAGTGACTGAAAGCTGGCAGAAAGCTAAGCAAGCAGCATTGTTCCCTCTCTGACCTCTTCCCCCACATACAGTGCCACAATGCAGCAATGAAGTGGGTTGCCCTGCCCTGGTGAATACTTAAGGCTCTGCCCCTTACAACATAACAGGTGCTCCCAGGAAAAAAAAAAATGGCCCAGTGGAAAGAACAGATCAAAGCTCCAAAAGAAGAACTAAGTGATGAAGAGCTAGCCTGCCTATCAGACAGATTTCAAAACAGCAGTAACCAGGACGCTCACAGAAATGGTTGAGTGTGTCACAAAATAGAGGAAAAAGTGAAGGCTCTGCAAAATGAAATAAATAAAAATAGGGAACCAATAGTGAAGGGAAGGAAACTGGGACTCAGAGATCAATGATTTGGAGCAAAAGGAAGAAATAAACATTCAACCAGAACAGAACGAAGTAACAGGAATTCAAAAAATGAGGAGAGGCTTAGGAACCTCTGAGACAAGTTTAAATGTTCCAGCATCTGAATAATTGGGGTGCCAGAAGAAGAAGAGGAAGAGAAAGAAATTGAAAACTTATTGGAAAAAATAATGAAGGAGAATTTCCTCCATCTGGCAAAGGAAATAGACTTTCAAAAGTCCAGAGAGCTCAGAGTCCCAAAGAAGTTGGACCCAAGGAAGCACACACCAAGGCATATCATAGTTACATTACCCAAGAATAAAGACAAGGAGAGAATATGAAAAGCAGCAAAAGAAAAGGAGACAGCTACCCACAAAGGAATTCCCATAGGACTATCAGCTGATTTCTCAAAAAACAAACAAACAAAAAAAAAACCCTGAAGACAAGAAGGGACTGGAAAGAAGTATTCCAAGTCATGAAAGGCAAGGACCTGTATCCAAGATTACTCTATCCAGCAAAGCTATCATTTAGAATAGAAGGGCAGATAAAGTGTTTCTCAGATAAGGTCAAGTTAAAGGAGTTCGTCATCACCAAACCCTTATTACATGAAATGTGAAAGGGACTTATCTAAGAAAAAGAAGATCAAAACTATGAACAGTAAAATGACAACAAATTCACAACTATCAACAACCAAACCTAAAAAAACAAACAAAAATAAGAACAAACTAAGCAAACAACTAGAACAGGAACAGAATCATAGAAATGGAGGTCACATGGAAGGTTATCAGTGGGGAGGGGGAGAAGGTGCAGGGCATAAGAAGCACAAATGGTAGGTACAAAATAGACAGGGGGAGGTTAAGAATAGTACAGGAAATGGAGAAGCCAAAGAACTTATATGTACAACCCATGGACATGAACTAAAGGGGTGGAGAATGCTGGTGGGAGGGAGGGTGCAGGGTGGTGGACAATAAAGGGAAGAAAAACCTGAGACAACTATAATAACATAATCAACAAAATATACTTTAAAATATCTTACAATTTTATATTGATTATAACTCAATAAAGCAGAAACTTAAATAAATACATACATGCATACAACTGTATGTGAAATAACAAAAAAAAAAGAAAAAAAGGAGTAGGATTTCAACAGATGGAATTAAGGGGGTCAGAGAGGCTAATGGAGCCATTTCATTTTGTAGTTTCCTAAAAATGACCGGCACATAATGATTCCAGTTTGCACTTTAACTTCACATCCTACACATCCTCCCAAATGGTGAAAATCCCAACTTCACCTTCACCATCGCCTCTGCTCTCCACCATCAGCTTCATAAGCACCTACCTGCAGCCTTGCATCAGGCCATGCCATAGTTGAGCTCCAGGGCTTGGGAGCTCTTGAACTGAGGCTTTCTGATGTTAGTTAGCCCTGAGATTTCTGGTGATGGTCACCAGGGGAGGCCACTAATTGTTGCAAATACAAGTGCCTCTCAGGTGGAGTGGGCACAGAGGGCTGTGTGTACAACCACTGTAACTAGTGGTTACCTGAAAAGCTCAGTATTTTGTGAAGGGGGCAGATGCCATTAAGCTCTAACTCTTTTTGCCAAATCTACTGATTTTGTTTTTTCAAGAGAGGCCAGAAAACCTCTTTTTTTTTTTTCATGTGAAATTTTTCAATTTTTGAACATTGGCAGATCAATTTTTTAAAATTGAATATTAAGAAGCCATACAGAATGAGTCTGCAGCCAGCTCCAGCCAGTGTCTACAGTTTGGAGCTGCTAACCTATTCTCCCTCTTAGATGGTCCCCCAGACCTAAAGGGAGTTCACAGAAGTGACCATATTTAGTCTCTTTGAGGCTCTGTCCTGACTTGCACTTAGCCCAGATTCCTTGGGCCTGGGAATGCTGTCACTGCCACCAGCCCCATCTTACATTTGGGAATCCCAAACATTACCCCAGGGCCCAGCTCTGACCTGATGTTTTCATTGGGTACCTTCCCATGTCTCTTAATGGCCAAACACTCGTTTTTGTGGTTCAGCCAAGCATCCTTCTGGCAGGTGCGGTCACAGTAATGGGCAAACTTGCACTGCCCACAGTGATGGAGCTTCTCCTGCCTCTTGAAGCAGGTGTGGCACACAAAGTTAACGAGGCTGGAAATAGAGAAAGAAAACATGATTAAGTTTGGAGGTGCACCGTGGAAAGGAAGCACATTGTCCTTTGAAAGACTGGGGGTTTGGTACTGGCTCAGTGGTCAATCCTTGTCTTTTTAGGGTTCAAACTCCTACTTTTCAAAATGAGAGTCTTCGGCTTCCAAAGGTCCTTTTTAGCTGTAACTATTATTTTAGCAGATATTTTAAAGTGAACTAAATGGGAACACTATTGAGCCCCTGCATATAAGCCTTTCAAGTTAATTCAGCAAGTATAGGTTTATGACCTATAGGCACTAGATTATCATAAGTTCCCAAAGGAAGAGTTGAACTGGCAATCACCATGCAGCATGAGCAGCACTATAATAAAGGAGGCACAAGGTGTTCCTGAAACACATTGGAGAAGATACTTAAGGAACCCCAGGAAAACTTCTGGGCCAAGGGAGTATGAGTGGAAATTCCTCATGGTCCTGTTGCCAAAAGTCACAGGTTATTGGCACAATGGCATGGTGGTGGTGTGGGTGGGGGGTAAATTCTTTGTGATGTATTATTATCATTGTGGAAATGTACTGTCCTTTCTCCCAAAGGATAAAATATCATAACTATCCACAATATGATGCAACATGAAACAATGTATTTTACACAAAATGAGGTCTATGCATTATGACATGTCTTAGTTCTGTGTTTTGCAACTTTAAGAATTACAAGGTTAGCCATGGCCAAGTGGTTCAGTTGGTTGGAGCATCATCCCATACACCAAAATGTTATGGATTCAATCCCTGGTCAGGGCACACACTTATGTTATGTATGGGTTTGATCCCTGGTAGGTGTGTGTTCAAGAGGAAACTGATCAATGTTTCTTTCTCACATCAGTGTTTCTCTCTCTCTCTTTCTCTGTCTCTCTCTTCTTCTCTCTCTCTTCCTCTCTCTCTAAAATCAATAAAAACATATCCTCGGGTAAGGATTTTATTTTTTTAATATATTTTATTGATTATGCTATTACATTTGTCCCATTTCCCCCCTTCCCTCCCCTCCACCCTGTACCCCCTCTCCCACCCACATTCCCCCCCTTTAGTTCATGTCCATGTGTCATTCTTATGAGTTCTTTAGCTTCTACCTTTCCCGTACTATTCTTGCCCTCCCCCTATCTATTTTCAACCTACATTCTATGCTACTTATTCTCTATACCTTTTCCCTCCCTCCCCTCCTCCCACCCCCCTGCTGCTAGCCCTCCATGTGCCCTCCATTTCTCTGGTTCTGTTCCTGTTCTAGTTGTTTACTTAGTTTCTTTTGGTTTTGCTTTAGGTGTGGTTGTTAATAATTGTGAGTTTGCTGTCCTTTTACTATACATGTCTTTTCTTTATCTTCTTTTGGATTTTATTTAAAAACAACAATTACAAGGTTACTGATGTCACTGATGTTATTTGATGTATCTCCTGGCTCAGAGTTAGTAGAAGTGATAAAGAACAATATATGTCCATTCTGTGGGTGGGAGAGAGAGACATAGGAGGATTCAGCCCCTTACCCCCTGCTTCTGGCTTCCCAGTGTTCCCATTAGAGTCCTGTGCCTCCCCATGTTAAAGCCATGATTAGAATAGATAAGGTCATGGGCTAGCATGAAGTAACCTTATCTCAAGACATAACCTAACACCCAGAATGAGTGAAACCTGGTGTGATCACAATATGTCTAGGCCCCAACTGCATACTCCTGCAATGTGGGAAAGAGAAATCCTGGCCACTGAAGCAGAGAAATGATGAAAAGAAGTTTGGCAATATGCAGGGAAGTGTTGAGCTCCCTGAGAGAAAGTGGGTATACACACTCAGGTTGTACTTAACAGTCTAAACAGGAATCTCAGAAGTTTAAGAAAACAAGGGCTTTTAGAAATATGGAATCCTAGAGCCTGAAGGAAGAATCTTTAACAGAACATACAAGTACAGAAACCCCTCGTGTCCATCCCTGACCATGCATTTTCTAATTCCCATAGTGAAAAAGAGTTTGCTGCTTCCAAGAACAATCAGTTCATTGTTGGCCAGTCCCAATTACTGCCACCTTCCTCCTCATGTTAAGCTTGAGTTTGCCTTGCAGAAAAACATACTCCTATAATGTAATTTGGCTCTCTGGATCCTTGTCTAATGGAATAGGCCTGGTCATGTCAGCCCTTCAAGAACTTGAAGACTACTGCCATGTTTCCCCTTCATTTCCCCTCTCCAAGTGCAACACTCTCAGCTCCTCCAACAGTTCCTTATACAAGTTTCTGAAAATCTCACTGTTCTGCCATTCTCCAGTGTGTCCATGGCACATTCCTATAGCCAAAGGAAAATGAGCATAACAGGGCAATCAAGCAAGATCCAGCAGCAAATGCTAAGGTATCTGGCTCAAGGACCAGCCCAAAGGCTAGACCCACTGTTTCCAACATAGCATCAAGAGATGGAGAGACAGCAACAGAGCCAAGCTAAGGGCATTGCATGGGCTACTGCTCTAAGATAGATTCAGGGCTTCCTGGAGTCCAGACAGTTTTCAGCCTCTAGATAGTCAACTCAACACACTGCCATTTCCCCATCTGCTGTGATGTGCATTGCTGGTAATTGGTTAATGATCATAGAGTACTCAAGGGCATGCAAGGTTAGTACTTTTTACAGGTTAGAGCAGATTGAAGGTTATTTCCATGATAATATCTTACTCAGTACCTTGCATTCCTCAAGCTTTCCTAATGAGAGAAGAAGGGTAGAATTACACTGGCATACCTAGTGAGTTGCAAGAATCCACAGTCCATCATCACTATGCCACACAGAGGGTACCCTGCTTGAGAAGGATGAGAAGAGAGTACAGGGAACTTACACGGGACCCTGACCATTTTGTGGAAGCTCCAAACCTCTGGAGGAGGGGAACTATGAATTTCTCACACCCGTCTCAAGTCAGGATTACGTTCTCTGGAAGGAATGTGAAGTTGGTCAGCAGGGATGGAGGTGCTGAAGAACCCAGGTAATCTGGATCTGAAAGAGGCTCCAAATCTTATCTCCTGGTCACTTAAGGGTCACAACACTTTAAATTATGGTGCCCAGAACAGAGTGTAGTATCCAGGTGTGGTGCTGTTCACACTTCCTGAATCTGGACATTGTGATTCCATTAGAAAAACTTCACATTTATTTAAGGTCAAATTACAAACATAGTCACTGGAACCTCCCAAGTTTTCTCAAAGGTGCTGCAGCCAAGTCAGGGCTCCCCTCTGTTGGTCCATTTGTCATTATATTTTAAAAACAGCTTTTTTTTAAAAGATTTATTTATTTATTTTTAGAGAGGGAAGGGAGGGAGATAGAGAGAGAGAGAAACATCAATGTGTGTTGCGTGGGTCACTGGCCAGCAGTGACCACAGAACGCTGTGGATGGCTCGTCTAAAACACGCGAGAAAAAACATGCACAGAGACAAACTAGTTTCTGTGGAGAAGTAGGGATGAAATAGCCACCCCCCCTAGTGGGGAGCGCCCCGATTTACCATCCATACCTGCTTTTATTGGGCTCATTTTGCATAATAATTCAGGTAAAGTACAGTACACATTAGGGGGAAGTAAGGAACCATAGAAAACAAGGAAGTCTGAGGGTCTATTTTGAGTCAGGGTCAAAGAGCTGTAAGACTTTGAAGAACAAACTAACTTCCTCTTTGGACCCCTCTCATTCAACTGAGAGCATTCTAAACAAAGAAGTTTTCACAGTAATTTACATGTTCTTTCTTAGGCCTGATCACCCGGGGGAATCCGCCCTTTTCAGCACAGAGCTGCACCACCCTGTCATTGTTTCAGGCTTAGGTGGAGCAAGGGAACTAAGGAAACCGAGAGATAAGGAGATTTTCTCCCAGACAATGAGAACTCAGGCTATGTCAAAGCCGAGGAGCGAGGGTCCATCACCCCCTTTTGCTGCAGCCTCCCAAGTCCTTCTTTTAGGGGGCCTCCCAAAGTGATCGTGCCTGTCTTAGGTCGTTCCCCCCTTGGGGAATCTTACCTGTCTTTGGCTAACCGACCAAGCTTTTTGGGGTTCAGTTATGAATAAAGCAGCAGAAGCAGCATTCCTGCCAGGGAGATAAGCTTTTGTCTCCTTGCTGGCTTACGGTTCCAAGGGCGTTCCCTTAGCCTTAGCCTAGGCGGGGGTTTCAGCTTCTGATACCAGTCAGGGCAGTTCCCAACAAATGTGCGGTTGCTGGGGGTTCTGGCCTGCAACCCAGGAATGTACCCTGGCTGGGAACCGAACCTGGGACACTTTGGTTCCCAGCCCACGCTCAATCCACTGAGCTACGCCAGCCAGGGCTTAAAAACAGCTTTATTGAGATATAATTGACATACATAAACTGCACACATTTAAAATGTGCAATTTAACACACATATACCCATGAAACCATCTCACAGTCAAGTTAACGTATCCATCATGCCCCAATATTTTCTCATGACTCTGAATTTTTTAACCTGAAGTGGAATCTTCACCTTCACCCCTATCTGCCTGCTCTCAGTATAGCATTCCAAACTGTCCAGGTCATTTTGAATTTTTATTGTGTCATCATTATATCTCTGTGCTAAGCTTTGAGTCACCTGTAAAGCAGAGAGCATGTCTTAGGCTGGGAAGGGAAAGGAGGAGCAGATGTCCGCCTCTAGGGTATCGGTACCCAGGCCAGGAATACAGATAAAGGCAGGACAGGGAGGAAGGACACCCAGGAAATGGCTGTAGAGGAAGAGTCAGAAGCAAGCACAATCATGCTGGCTGTCACTTATAACTTGTCACTCAGAACTCCATGCCTATCTGCCACAGGGACACCCATCAGAGAACCGTACCCTGGGGCTGCTGTCATAATTTACACCCATCATGATATTCTTAGAATATTAGAGTATTTTATATTTTTATTCATACACATATGTTCATATTCACATACATAGTTGATGTGTAAATGTATTGCACTTCACAGTTCTTACACTATTGCACTTTTTAAAATTTTAAATGCTAATAAAAACTCCAAATG